TGCTGGTTGCGTTTTCTATTAGAAGTAAAAAAAAAAAAGCCAAGATCCATAAACACATTTTTATTTTCTTTTGTAGCCAATGACAGCGATTTGTTAATGGAAGAGGGGATGGCGTTCACAATAGGTTAGTAGCTCTCTGCTATGGTTTTCTATTAAAAAGCACACGCGGAGCTGCCCAGATCCGTTAAATTTCTTTATTAGGATATAGAAATAGCTGTGCAGACAGGAGGATGTCCGTGACACTGACCCCTTAGGAAGCAGATTAAAATATAATTTTTTTAAAATTATAACTAAGGGACCATGTGGGTGAAACGGCTTTCAGAGTGCAAGATTTAAAAAATGAAATGTTTTTTACAAATCTTACTAGTACTTGATGCATATTTTTGGCGAGGCAAATACTCTGCCAGCACACTTGGATTGAGGAGGGTGAGAAGGATGTGATCATGTCCCTGAAGCCAAGCAGCCTGGTGGCACTTAGTCATTCACTGCCTGCCAGAGCCGCTGTTGGGTTTGGGGACGGCGGCAGCGGTAACCAGCCGGAGCCTCGCCCTGCAGACTGATGGTGCTCACTTCCAGTCGTGGAAAGATGCTGGGGGAAAAACCCTCTTTCTCACTGTGTGGCTAAATGGCACGGCAATTAGAGGGAAATAAGAAAATTGTTGTTTTGCTGATTTAATGAACATTTTAAGCCTGTTTAAAAAATTCAAATATTTAAAACTATCTGCTGTTTATAAATGTGGTTGGTGCTTTCGTTATTATCCACGGGGTCTTAATTAAAGCTTGATTAAAATTCCCTGCTTTTACAAAGGGAATGGGCAACTTCCAACCTTGATATTTCATCTTCCTTTTTAGTTCACATTTCAGTGTGACAAGAGAGTGCCAGCCTAGGAAGGACGGGACCTGTGTGGAAGGGGAGCTAACTGCTGGGACATCCCCCCCCTTTTCTTGCTTGTTTCACAATCCACACAGGAGTGCAACTAACTTTAGAATGCATTTTGTTTTTCTTGCTGCAGAGCCAATAATAATGGAAGGATCCCCCGAATTTAAGATTCTGAAGGATAAGTGGACGGCAATTTCTGTAGACAATAAAAGGTGCCTGATTTTAATTTTTGTTATTTCCTTAGCTGTGGAACTCATCACTGACAGACAAAAAAACCCAAACAGATGAGTTTTCATGCATGGTGGATGCATTTGCCCCATAATAACTGCTAAATGTGCATTTCAGATCAGCACAATTTGAACATACCATTGTGATTACCTCAGAAGGAGCAGAAATCCTCACTAGACTGGTGGAAGAAACCTAAAGATGGAACAAGGAATGGAGGGACTTGCTGTACTTCTGGGATTTCCAATTTCACTCAGGACAGAGAAGAGATTTCTGTAATTTCTCTGGGGTATGCATGTTGTATAAGTCACTGCAGGGGACAGAAAAAGCAGCTTGAGGGATCAGCTCTGGACATAGTCCTTTCTGTGTGTTACCTGGTAAGTAACTGAGTAATAAAAGTCCCTTGGCTTGTTTGTGACCCTTGCAGCAGCCATGCACAGTCTGCAAGTGCAGAGGTTTGGGTTATTTGGAGTGAGGGACAGAGAGGGGGTCCTCTCTCTTCCAAATCCTATGTGGGACAAACAGGTATCAGATGACACAGTCTTTGTGCAACTGAGAGGACAGAGAAACATAGTATTTTCCCTTTATAGCTGAGCTGTGGAGTCAATTTGTCTTCACTGCGATTAGCACAGTGCTGTTTCCCAGGCTGTAACTTCTGCTAGGATGGAAAAAAGTTTCGTAAGGGTGTCAGGCAGAGGCTTCAACCTCTTCCCCACATCCTTCTCAGCAGCAATCCCCCCCTTCTTGCCTCTTTTTACACAGCACAAAAAATGATTAAAAATGAGATGCGAAGCATGCCTCTCTGGGGATCAATAATTGCCCTGCTTGAAGAATTAGCCGGTTTGGGGTAATCACTGCTCTGCGGTGCCCACATTAGTTAAGGAAAAGGCACTCTACAGTTTAAGCATCTTATGGAAACAGAGGAGATGTGGGTCTCTCTCAACCCCGTGCTCTCTGTGGTCCTGGTCCTGTGGGGGTGCAGGATTTGATTTGCAATTTAGCCAGTTGCTGACCACCCTGTCAGGCCAGATGGGTCTGGCACTGGAATTTGGAGGCTCTGAGAGCAGGACCTGGTCCTATGAAATGCGGGGTAGCCTTGGAAATAAATGACTTCCAGAAGTTCCCCAAGCCCAAGGCAGCAGCAGTGCAGTTTGGTACAAATAATTTGCTCCCCATTGCAGGGGGATACGGTCCTGTGCTGAGGGCTGGCCGGTTGCACATTCAGGCAACCTGGGCAGCTCACCACCGGCTCCCTCAGTGGTCCTGGGCAGAAGTAAGCCTCTTCCTTAGAGCTTTACGTGGCTGTTTGCTTTCACTCAAGTACAGGGAGCTCTCAGCTCTAATAGTTTCTAACAGCATCGTTTCAAAAAGCAGGGACCCCCTCCCTGAACACGGCTAACACCGCAGGGCAGCCGCTCAGGGTTGTCCTCCCCAAGAGGAGCATGAAAGGCCATAAAACCTGCAAAACAAACGATGCAGCCAAGTTTACAAATACACAGACATTAAATAGCACGAGTGACTCTCAGCACTGCCTGGAGGGGGATGTATTTTGTTCCTTTACATTCCGTTGGCCGAGTCGCATTGCCCCCTCCGAGGGGCACTGGGGACGGATGGGTGTCCTGTGCATCCCGGAGGCACTCCAGGGGCGCCTCCCGTGGGTTTTGGCCACGCTGGGAGCACCTGGATGGCACCGCATCCGGGAGTGCCAAGCTTCTCACCATCGTCTGCCCCTCTGCCTCTTGTCCTGCACTTATCGCAGTGTGGGGTGAGACGGGAACGGGGCAGCCGGGAGCAGGGAACCTTCTTCAGCCCGACATAAGGGGACTGCTGGCAGCTCCTGGTAATCGCTGTTCACCCCTAAGTCCCTCAGGTAACTCTGGGGCGACTGTAGGTTTTACCATCCGCTGCAGAGCAGTGGAGGCCAGGCGGAGGCATTGATGGCACACGTTTGTAATCCTAATTATGAACGAGACTAAAGAAATGTGTCGGCTGTGCGGGGACAGCCAGCGCCTCGCACAAACCCGTCACGCAGGAGGTCTTGCCGGGCCAACACGATGAGAACCCCGACGTGGCAATCGCGGGTCAGGGCGTCCCGCGGCCCCTCCGCGCCCGCCGAAGCCGCGCTGCCCGGGGCCGGCGATGCGCGGAGAGGCAGCGGCCCCGCTCAGGAGCGTGGGTGTGAGCAGAGCCCCACCGACCGGTCCGCGGGGTTTTGGCGGGGCCGGCGGAACTGTGGCTCGCCTCGGGACTGCCTGCGCCCGGTCGCCTGGAGGAGGTGACGGCAGACCCTGCGGGCACAGATCAGCCTCCCCTCCCTGGAGCCGTCGGGCTGAGGCCGACGAAGGTGCCGGAGCACCCCGTCCCCTCTGCGGGCAAGCGCCCAAAACCGCCTCGGGGGGGTCACTTACATGGCCGGAGGGCAGAGTCGGCTGCCAGGGGACACCGTGCGTGTGGGGACACACCGCCACTGCCCGTTCCGCGCCAAGCCTCGGGGAGTTTGTGAGAATGAACTTTGCGTATCACGAGCAAACCAAAAAGAAAAATGGAGGGAAAGAGGAAGTAAAAGAGGCATTAGGAGACGAGCAATTAAAACCGACAGAGCCACTAATGAAAAGGAGGGGGGGAGAGACAGGAGCAGAGGGGCTCGGTTGTGCCAGCTCTGCAGTCAGGAGCCGGCTACTTCACGGACCGTCGCTGCCCGGAGGAGTCTGAACACCGTGCGGGCGCTGCCGGGGGTGCCCCAGCTCCGCTGCCGGCGCTAATACCTCTAACGACATCAACGCCGCGATTTGTTTTGAATGTTCACTTTTACTGGTGTTCTCCCTTTGCCAAAATGTGCTTGATTACATAGATGTGGTGCCGTGATAACTGCGCACCCTAGACAGCCTAAGTGTAACCGGGAAAGTTCAGCCCAGGCCAGATCAAATCCCAGGCTGTTTAATGCTGGAAGGCTGCATGTTGCTATTAGTGTTAAATATATGGCTAATTATGCGTATGAAAATTAAACATCAGTGTTATGCTAATGGGGCCGCCTTCAGCTGTGGATCAGAGCACTTGAGACTAGCATTTAATCAAATGAATCAGTAACTAATACATCTGCACGTGTGAACTTTCACAAGATCATTTTCCTGTTACAGTCACACCGCAGAATTATGAAAGAAATAATTATCAACACTTTCTAATTATCTAGCAAAGTAATTTGGGATTCATCGTGGGCTTTCTGGGGAGGATCTCCCAAGTCCCACCTCATTTACCTCTCACGCGTGCGGAAGTTTTCATTTTAAGCTCAAACGCGCCGTTGGCCCATTTTAGGGCGATTTTTTTTTTTGTTGTTAGATTGGTTTTTTCCCTTTAAAACAATAACGGCAGGAGCCGGGCGGCGCGATCCGGAGGCTCGGGCGGCGCTGGGACCGGCGGGCCGAGGCCGAGAAGCCCCTGCGCGCCTGCGGAGCGCGCCCGGCCGGGCGGGGCCCGCTCGCTTTGTCCACGGGTCCCGCCGGAGCGGAGCGGGGCGGGAGCGGCGGAACCTCCGCAGCCCGGCGGCACCGGCGGAGCGCGGCCGCTGCCCCTCGGCGCCGCCTGCGCGGCGAGGAGCGGGGAAGAGCGGAGAGGTTGCGCTGCCTTCCGCCGAGATCCGGACCGGCGCCCCCGGTCGCGGGCGGCCGGGAGCGGGCGGGCGGCGATGGAGCAGGTCCCTGACGGCTCGTTGTCCCGGACCGGGCCGGCGCGGGGCTCGGTGCCGTCGGGCGGCCGCGCTCGGGGACGCGCCGCCAGCTCCGCGCTCACCGCGGTCCGGGCGAGCCCCGAGCGCCAGGGACCAATCCAAAGCGATTATGCAAGACGGCGGACCAATCAGCTCCGCCGTCTCATGAATATTCATAGGCTTGGCTGAGTCAAAGCTTTTAGGCGAGTTTGTGTAGATCTACAGCATCATGCTTAGACTTTTCAAAGAGACAAACTCCATTTTCTTATGAATGGAAAGTGAAAAACCCTGTTCCGCTTAAATTGGGTTCTTTCCTGTCCTGAGAAACACAACAGACCCCAAAAAGGCAAGCTGAAGAGAGAACACACACACAGACCAAGCGACAAGAAATGACCATGACCACCATGCCAGAGAGTCTAAATAGCCCCGTCTCAGGGAAGGCTGTCTTTATGGAGTTTGGGCCGCCCAGCCAGCAAATGTCTCCTTCTCCCATGTCCCACGGACACTATTCCATGCACTGTTTACACTCCGCGGGCCACTCTCAGCCTGACAGCTCGTACAGCACAGCTTCGTCCTTCTCCCGACCGCTGGGCTACCCCTATGTGAACTCGGTCAGCAGCCACTCGACCAACCCCTACATCAGTTCAGTGCAGTCCTACCCCAACAGCTCCAGCCTGACTCAGACCCGGTTAGAGGAGACAGGTAGGTGCACTCGGCTTTGGGGAGGGGGGAAGGGGGAGGGAAGGCAAGGAGGGAGGGAGGGTGCTTGAATTAAAAAAAAAAAAAAATCTATCGGGGGAAAAAAATTAAATTAAATTACAAAATATTAGTCAAGAGAAGCTGAGGATCACAGAGGACCAATACACAGAGTACACAATGCCTGGCTGGAAAAGAAACCAACCCAGATGTGCACGTATTAGTCTTCGTAATTATTTATTGCGTAGTGCTATAAACAATGTATGCAATTAAGGGTAATTAAACCTAAACTGCAGCCTGTAAAAATAGCAAACTTTCTCTGGGAAGAAGCCTGGGCTGCCATAATCGCCCTGAGCCTTTGTTAGCGTTACTCGAGCTTCACTTTTCTTCCTTCTCATTATTGTTATTGTTGATGTTGTTGCTGTTATTGTTACTGCTGCTGCTGCTATTACTGTTACTGCTATTATTGCTATTGCTGCTATTATTATTATTTATTCTGCATCGTTTGTTGTTCATAGGGGCCGAATCGGAGAAAAGCACTGTGGTAGAAGGAGGGGAAGTTCGCTTTAATGGGAAAGGGAAAAAAATTCGCAAACCCAGGACTATTTACTCCAGTTTGCAGCTACAGGCTTTGAACAGGAGGTTCCAGCAGACTCAGTACCTGGCTCTTCCTGAAAGAGCCGAGCTCGCAGCATCTCTGGGACTCACCCAGACCCAGGTACAGCGCCAACTAAGCCGGGTCCTCTCCCGTGTCCCCTTCCTGTCCCCACAGCCGGTGTGGGAGACCCCGCGCCTAATGCAGACGGGTCACAGCCGCGGGCAACGGGGCCCGGCGCGACGCCCGTCCCGCCGCGGAGGCGCACCCGGTGCGCGGAGGCCCCCGCGGGGCCCGCTGGAGTTGGCGGGGGGGGTCTTATTGGGTGGTTTGCCATCACAAAATAACACAGCAGCCACGGGGGGAATAAGGGAGAGAAGCTGGGGGGCCGCTGGGTGCAGGGATCCGTCGGATCCCGGAGGGTGGGGGAATGCTGAACCGTACCGAGTCATGCTGAGCCCTGCCCCGTTCCCGTTCACAGGTGAAGATTTGGTTCCAGAACAAGCGTTCCAAATTCAAGAAGCTGATGAAGCAAGGAGGAGCCACCCTGGAGAGCAGCGCCTTGACCAACGGCAGGGCTCTCTCGGGCAGCTCGCCACCCGTGCCCCCAGTGTGGAATACCACCTCTGCCTCCGGTAAGGCCTCGTCGGGGACCCCGGGCACCTACATCCCCAGCTACACGTCGTGGTATCCTTCAGCCCACCAAGAAGCTATGCAGCAGCCGCAACTCATGTGATTATAAATACGTTTTCCCCTAATGCAAGCACTATCCGTCCCAAAAAGAATTAAAATTATCACGGAAAAAAATAATTAAGTAAAATAAAAGGAAAGGGGAAAAAATCTAAAAGAGGGGGGAAGAGAGAGAGACGAAAAAAAACCCACAAAAGAAACCCAAGCAAACAAACAAACAGGAGGTCTCTTGCCCATCCAGCCATTAGGACGCTGCACGGTAGCTCGGTGCAGGAGAGCACAGATGTGATGCGGGCCGGTTCCCACCGCTGACAGCTGACGGAGCGGCCCTGAGCACCGCACAACAGCCTGGGAGCAGAGCGAGCGCCGGCCGCGGCTTTGTGGGACAATCAGAAAAAGATGTTGGGGGGGGGAAAAAACCCTCTCCTCTGTCCTGTCTGTCTGTCTGTGTCTGTTGAAATGTAGGTCATTTATTTACTACCCCGATCTGACGGTCTCTTCAATTGCAAGGGGGAAGGAAGCTGTACAATTTACCGGAGCTTCTTTCCCTAGACATTTTCTGTACCTTTCACTATCCATCTGTATATTTTTTGTTGTTGTTAAAAGGGGAAGACAGGGGTTTTATTTATTGATTTAAATTACCACTATGAGAGTGCTAGAAACAAACTCAGCTTGCTGAGTGCACTGCTCGGACGCACAGTTTAAACAAAACCACAGACGGTCCGTCGTCCCGTTCCCCCCGCCCCTCCTCGAATAAATCACCACGAGGGAAGGATGCGATTTTAACTTTGACAATAACTTTTATACTTCGCTGGTGTGGAGAGGTTTGGTCCGAATGATTTGCATTTCTCGCGTATTTAACAAAGGAAATAAATGCACATTGTTTGGTACTCTGAAGTTGAATCGCAGCAGCTGCCGAGCGCTTTGCTGAGGTGAAGCAAGGCGCGGAGGACGGAACGAGAGCCCCGAAGGCGGCGGCGACGGGGGGGACCCGCCGGGAGAGCGGGCGGGCGCACCCGCGCAGTCCCGGCGCGGCCTCCCCGCGCAAAGCCGGCCCAAAGTCGAAATGCACAAACCGACGTGCAGGAGCTACTCGCTGTACATATTTTATTCTTAATTATTATTATTATTATTGTTCTGTAAACATGTTGCACAAATTTAGCCTTTTTTAATTATTATTTCCGTTCTGTTTCGTGTGGCTGTAAAACATGATGCTTTGTGTACTGAGATCTTGACATTTTACTTGTGAAAGTCGGAAGATGTGATAAACTGAGCTCGGCAGTGTTTAGTGTTCTATATGTCAAAGTTTAGTTTTATATTGAGAATGTTAACTTATTGCTTTGTATCTGGGGGAGGAAATGGAAAAAACCCACACAAATCTTTGTACATAAGTTATAAAGTTTCTTTGAGACAGTAAAACTATGGTTTGGAAAAAGAGACACGCGTGCTCCCTGTCTCGCAGCGCGGCCGGGAGCGGGACCTGGGCCAGGCTCCGCGCTCCGCGGCAGGACGGCGGTGGCCGTAACCGGGAAGTGACACAGAGTAAGGGGGTCGACGCGCCCCGGACAGGGCAGCGTGTCCCCCTGCGCCCCACCAGACCCAGTCAGACGGCGGTGGCCGCCGCGATGGGCCGCGGGACCCTCAGCCAGGGGGTCGCTCCGGGCCAAGGGGGATCCAGGAACAGTTCCTGGGACGGGAGAGGGATGTGGACAGGCCGGGACAGCCCCAGCCCCCGTCCCGACAGCCGAACCAGCTGCCTACCCGCGCATCCCGTCGGCGGCGAGGCCGTTCCGGTGCCGCCGCACTCACCCCGCGCCGGGCTCAGCCCGGGCCACTGCTGGGGTCAGCAAAGCGCTGCAGAGCGGAGGGAACCGGGAGCGTTTGGGCTTGGCGGGCTGGCCGTGCGCGTCTCTGCGCGCAGGTTCCGCGGCGGATCGGCCGTGCAGCCCCACCGGCCATGCTCGCCCACCCCGAGAGACGCACCCACTCCCCACTTCGCGGGGCCAGGAGGCAGCCGATGCGCGGCAGCGCAGCACCCGCCCCGGCGCGCACACGGGGAGCAGTGGCCCGTGGGATGTTGGATCCGACCTGGAAAACGCTCCCTATCTTTGCATTTCCCGCGGTGCCACGACCCGAGCCCGGACCCGATCGGCCTGAAGCCCCCAGTGGAGCCGGAAGGCTCCGCTTCCCCGCAGCGCCCCAGGATCCGCGCAGTTCCCGCCGCGGCTCAGCCCGAGACCACAAATGCCTTTAACCGGACAGGAACAGGGTGGTCAAGCAGCTTAGAGCGCTTTAAAGATATATTAGCTTCTCCTAATTCAATAACGTCTTGCTAACAGTTCAAATAGAGAAATTATTAGTTTTCTCTCAGCGAGGCGGTCTTGAGTTAGAGGCTATTATAATTGTACATTTGAAAATGTTAATCTCAATACAGGCCTAATTAATTCTGCCTTGTTGCTGACAAGTAGTTCATCAAATATCTGATTCGAAGATTTTCATAATGAGGATATTAATTAAACTATGAATAATCCAAAGGTGCTTATATTGAAACAATACCTCATTACAATGATTAAGTCCTGATTTCGAATATTATACCTTTACCAATCGTCACCCGGCAAACACAACCTTATGGATGAGCCTGTAAATGGCAAAATGTAATTTTGGGATATATTTTTTCCTTGTTGGGGAAAAAAAAAAAGTGCCCCTCATTTTCAAACACTCTGAAATAGGTTACACACAGCTTAATGATGATCAAAATGACTCTTTTCTGCAAAAAAAGACCCCAAAGTGCGCGTACAGCTGCAAACCCAAGAGGGTCAGCATCATTTCACTGTATTCTCTTCTTGATTACAAGCCGAGCCCATCAAACACAACATAATTACAGTAATTTCAGGTTTATTTATTCTAATGCAGTTTCCCCATCTCTCTGGTAATTATGAGCAATTTTTTCGCCCAGGGAATCTTTTTGCATTAACAAAAGAGATAACGCACTGAAAGCCAAATTTGCTGTGCATTGAGAAAAGCGAAGAAAAAAAAATAAAATAGGTGCGAGCTGCCATCTCTGCAATTCTCCTATATTGGAGCTCTGCAAATTGCTTGCAGGTGTATGGAGCAGAGCTGTCAATAGGAAGGGGCTTCCAAATTAGCAAATGCACAATGTTGAAGTAATGAAGACAGACTTAGCAAAATTGCCAAACAACAGATACCTCTTTAATATCTTCCACCCAAAAAGAAAAAGGAAAAAAAATCCCCTTGGAGTGTCCCTGCGAACCCCCTTCAATGGCTGGGGATGTTGTACATGTGTCAATCTAATTGCAGAGCACAGAGCGGCCCCTGAAACTAGAAAAAAAATCAAATATCAGAGCCCGTTTGCATTCGGAATTTTCTCCCTTCGTTTGACAGAGGGGGATAAGAAATCCCCGTCGACGGCCGCTCCGCTCTTCCCGCCGCCGCCCACCTGCCCCGCTCCCGCCGCCACCGCCGCTCTCATGCCCGTGCAAAAGTGCCACGTCCTCCCCGCGTCGGCGCCTTCCCCTCCCGACTCCCGGCTCCCGGCTCCCGGTTGGGGACCGGGCAGTAACGCGCCCCTCCGCAAGGAACCGACAAACGCGCACCACAAAACCACCGCCGAAAGCGAGCGCTCCCCGGGGCCGGCAGCCCCGGCCCCACGGCGGCCCCGGCCGGGAGTGTCCCCCCGCCGCCCCCGCGCCGCTCTGCCCGCGCTGGCTCCGCGGCTGGCGCGGCTCGGCCCGCGGGATCCCCGGCTGGGCTCTGCGCGGCAGCCCCGCCGCCCGGCACGCCGTCCCCGCTCCCTTTCCTCGCCGTGGTGCCGCCGGCGGGAAGTTTTTCAGGGAGACTGGGCCGGCGGAGCCGCCGCCGGTTCTTCCCCCCTCTCGCGGCCCGCGCGGGGCATCCATCCACGTCGCTCCCCGTGCACTCACCTACCCCCGCGAGAAAGGAGCCTGTGTCGCCACCCTTACCTTCCGCCTCAGTCCCTGAGGCTCTGGGCACAAGTCTTTGCTTTACAACAAACCAAAGGACCGAACGCGGCTTTTTGCTACGAAAGTTAGAGGAGCGAGAGACTGTGTGAGAGAGGGAGAGGATAGGGGAGGGAGAAAGAAAGCGAAAAAAAAAAAATTGAAGCCGAGCACAATAATAATATCCTGAGAGTGCAAATGCGGATTGAGGTCCCCCAGAGATGCACATGCCTCTGAGCGCAGCAGCCTTTTTGCAGCTCTGCTCTTGCAGAATATGACTGAAATTTTCTGCTATATAGCCTCTGTCTTTATAGCTGATGAAAAAAATTGCAGATTATTAGCATAAATGTTTACTCTTCATTACGCTGATGACATTGTGCACTCGAGATCTTGGTAATCTTTGGGAAAATTATGAGTAATTTTTAAAAATTTTAAAGCAGCAGCAGTTACCATGCAATTCAGGCTAATTCTGCGTAGGCTCCGAACGGATATAATTATCGAGGAGTCAAGATGTTATGCTAAAAACTATGCATTGATATTCCCATTTATTATGTACATACAACTTTGACAATGTTGATGCTTGAAATAGCAGGAAATTGTCTTGCGCAAAAATTACAGTCCATATTAGGACATGTGAAATTGCGAAGAATTATATAGTAATTGCAGGCTTTCAGATGGGAGAGCCAGAATGCTCAAACTAGTGCAAATGTGGATAAAATTACAGATCAGAGCAAAAATTAGGGAAAAAAGGGGTCTGGGATTTTTCAAGTTGGCTATAGGATTCCGGAAGTGTCTAATGCCACATGATTGCTGCAGCTTTAGGGGAGACATTCATGCCTCAAATAACTCCTTTTGCCAGAGCCGCTTTAATTGAATTTCTCGTGCTTTCTCTTTTCACCGGGCAAATGAGTAAATTGCCTCCCCACGGTACAAGCCCGGCCGGCCCCGCCCGTGCAACGGGGAGGCAGAGGGTGCCCCTCGCCCGGGCGGCTGCCGGGCCGCCCCCCCGGACAGGGCTGGCCGCAGAGCTGTCACTTACCCCGGCCGCCCCCCCGGTACCGGCCCCGTTCAGCCGCTCCCGCCGGGAGCCGAGCCCGGGCCCAACGGGGGGGGGCCCTCGGCGCTGGGACGTGGGGTGGAATCGTCCCAGCCCCCCACCAGGCTCCATCCCCCGCTCCCCAACCCTCCCTGGAGTGCCGGGGAGGCCGGGGCAGCTGTCGCCCCTCGATTATCCTGCTCCCTGCGACTCTGCCCGGCCCCGGGCGGCCGAGTCCCGCGTCACTGTGTCTTATTTGAGAGCTCATGGTTCTCAGCGGTGCCTGCTCTCTCTATCGGACAGATAGATCCTGTCCCATCTATCGGGCAGGAAAAGAGAAGAAAGCAGGTTACAAACATACACAGATGCATACGTATGCATCTGGGGTACGCGCGGAGCTGCAGAGCGCTCCTGCATCCGCCTGCCGTCGCCAACCCCAGCACGGTGTGAGCCGCATTTAGGATGCGAAATGAGGAGCCTAGAAGGGCTCAGGGAGCTACGGGGATGCTGAAACACGGAAAACCCATCGCATACACCAGGTGTAGACAGCCCAGAGAGAACTGCTGCTAGCAGACAGCAAATAAATAGTAATAAAGAAATAATAAAATACGAAATAGCTAAGTAGCAGAAAGAAAGCGCGGAAGCCCCCGTCCTGGGTACGGTGTGCTCTGCTCCCCGATCGCTGACAAGCGTCCACCCAGCTGTGCAAGTCCCCGTCCCGGGGACCCCACGCAGCTGTCGGCATCCTGCTCAACCCCGCGGGGCCGGGCAACACACCGCACCGCACCGCACTGCTGCATCGGAGTGGAGACGCCGGGCGCAGGTGTTTGGGGGGAACTTTATTTGACTGAGAGAAGCGTCTGTAAAAACGACGAGGCGGGAACGGGAAGGGAACGGTCTCCGTCCCGGCCCGCGCCCACGGTCTCCTCGTGCATCTCAGACGACCAGTTCAGCAAAACTTGTCACCTGCCAAAGGGGTGTATCCCACATCCCCCCTCCTCCCTCCGCCAGGGTCCGCGGAAACACCGCGCTGCTGGGGACACAGCCTTTGTCGCCACGCGTGCCGCCCCGCTCCACGCCCGCCGCCCCGACGGTTCACCGCACGCCAGCGGGGAACCTTTGTCCCCCGGCCCGAGTCGGGGCTGAGGCCGCTGCCGCCGGGTCTCCCCGCGGCCGGTGGGAGGGTGAAGGAGGGGAGAGATACGGGATGGGCCGGCCCCGCTGTTTCCCGGGGCGGTTCTTCCGCGTCCTCGCCGCCGGGTCAGCGCCGGGACCGGAGGGCAGCTGCCACTTCCCCCTTTGTCTCTCCCGTTCCCTCCTCTCGCTTCCTCTGCACCCGAGTTCCAACACCCCCTTCATTCTTCTCTTTTCCTCACTCCTCCTTCGACCCCCGCCTCCCCTCGCCCCCAAGCTTTCCCCAAGCTCTCAGGAGCAACCTGCCCTCCCGCCTCCCCCACTCCTCCCGACGTGTCTCCTGTGGGGCCGCCCCCCTCCGCCTTCCCCGGCCCCGCCCGAGCTCCTCATGCTAAGGCCTGTCGGGAGAGTCTCGTCCGGGCTGCACATTCCCTACTCCGGGCAAGCTAGCCTGGGCCTCTTCATCAACTTGTCTGCAGCGGGATCTTCCTCACGGCTCTCTCTCCCGCTGCCTTCTCCAAGGATGGTGGGTCCCTCGGGGCGACAAGGGCCAAAGACACCCCCCACAACCCCCAACACCCCTTTTTGCTTTTTCCAGCTCCAGGATTTCTAGGGATGCAGCCCTAAGGGATACACCCCTCAGGGTTACAGCTTGGAAGGGCACAGCTTGAAGGTGGGCATCCCTAGGGGGGGCAGCCCCGAAGGGTGCAGCCGAGGTCATAAAGTGAGGGTTCAGCTCAGAGGGTTGCAGGGAGTGGAATGGAATGGAGCATTCCAGCGGGCTAAATCAGGGAGGGGTCCACACCTCGAGGGATACATCTCAGAAAGGTGCAACTGGGAGGGCGTGCTGCCTGGAAAAGAGTGAAGCGTGGAGGGATCCTATCCTCGTGGGGTGCATCCCAGAGGAGTTATGAGGGCTGAAGGCTGGGGGGCTGCATCCCAGAGGGGAACATTCTAGGGGGTCCAGTCCTCCAGAGGCACATCTCGGAGAGGTGCCTCCAGGCATCGAAGAGCCACAGAGCGGCTCGGGGGCAGCCATCGGCTCTGGCTCAAGCAAAGCTCTCACGCAGGCTGCCGGCCTGGGTGCCACCGCCGGAGTGGCACAACGAAATGTCTCTGGGGCAGGGCTGCGCCCGGGGACCAGCTCCAGGGGCACTGAGGTCCTCGGACACGGCCGTGCTCCAAACCCCTCCGGACCGTCTGCGAAGCCAGGAGACGGCAGGAGATCCGGGTGAAATGTCGCTGGCGCCAGCAGGCGGGGAGGGGAGGGGGGGGGTGGCTCTGGGGCTGCTGCAGGCAGCGCTGAGTGATTCATGGCCTCGCCGAGAAGACTGGCAGGGGCGAGATTTTATTGTAGACGGGAAAAGAGGGAAGGGGGGAAGTTGCACGCTTGCGGCAACAGTTGCAATTGGGAGGGGGTGGAGCAGCGAACGCCCGGATCGACACCCCCAACCTCTCCCCTCCCCAAATAAACTCAGCGTGGGCACCATGGAAACAATAATTTATTTAAATAATCTCTGCTGATTGTAAAAGAAACATTAAAGAGTGTTTAAGTTTTCCATAATAAATAACAAAAAATACCCTGGGTTTTTTTTTTTTTTCTTCCCCACGATTCTAGACATCAAACGGCGTAAGGGCAGGGTTAGTGGCAAGGTTGCCGGCGGGGGTGGTGGTGGAAGTGAGGTTTCTCCGCGGCTCGGCACCCGACCCCGGGGAAGCCCCGTCGGGGCACGAAACCCGCTCGGAGGCAGCGCACGGGCGGTAGCCACGCCGGCACCGCCGCCTGCGACCAGCACTCAGCCGGGCCGGACGGTTTCGTTCACGGCTAAAAACGATACCTTAAACACGTGAGGCTTCTGTTTCAAATCTACATATAAAAATTATCTTTTTTTTTTATCGTTTTATTTTTTAATCCCCAACATCGAGGTGAGGTTATCCGCAAAGGCACCTATCAATTTTAAAAAAATAAAAAATAAAGTTAACCAGAGTTCTGCACCGGTGGCTTGATGAAAATGCCGGGAGAGAGGATGAAGAAGGATGAAGGGAAGGAGGTGGGTACTTGTTCCGCAGAGTGGTTGTTTTGGCGGCGGCAGGGCGGACCCACGGGGCTGAACGCACACGGGACAACGGGGAGGGACGGGGCACGGAGCGGTTCCTCTCCGCCGGAATGGCTGGAGACAGGCTTCACCAAAACACCAGTGCTGCACCTCTGTGGCCCGCGGCTGCCGGGCGCGGTCCGCAGGCTCAAGTCTCTGCAGCGCCTAGAAGATGCTACCGCCGCCGTGGTGGTGCGGGGGCTGCGCTGGCTGCGGGAGGGGAGCGGCCGCCGGCAGGTGCGCCGGGCCGCCGGGCGCCGGTGGGTACCACGAATAGCTACCGAGGAAGGCGGCGGCGGGGCTGGGACTGGCGGTGCCGGCGCCGCCCGCCGTGCGCGGGTGCGGAGCAAAGTCCCAGGCGGGGGGCGAGGAGGGGGACGGCGGCGAAGCGCTGCGACGGGGAGGCGGCTCCGCTGGGATCTCTCCGCTCTTCCACATCTTCTTGAACTTGGAGCGGCGGTTCTGAAACCAGATCTTCACCTGGGGAGAAAGGGGGAGTCAGGCGTCCGCAGCCTCTGCGGCGCCGTTCCGGCGCCCGGGTCGCCCGCGGCGGGGCAGGGACGCGCAGGTTTCACAGCCCCGAGCAGTCCCGGCACTGCCTCGGCGGTGCTACTGCTTCGCCGGCACTCCCGCCCCTGGGCCGTCGAGGCGCCGTGGGCCGGTCTTCCTCCCACACCTACACCTGCATCCGACCCCTCAGAGGACGAACGGTCACCGAGAGGCGAGATGCGCCCGGGGCCTCGCGGTGGGAGAGCCCTACCTGTGTCTGTGTGAGGCCGAGGGAGGCCGCCAGCTCCGCTCTCTCGGGCAGGGCGAGGTACTGGGTTTTCTGGAAGCGCCGCTGCAGAGCCGCCAGCTGGAAGCTGGAGTAGATGGTTCGGGGTTTCCGCACTTTCTTGGGCTTCCCGTTCACGATCCTGATCTCCGGCTCGCAGTCTTCCTTCTCTGCTGCGGCAGAAACGGCGACCCCGATGAGGAAAAGCGACCTCGCCGTCCCGGGCCACGCCCGCAGTGCGGCATCACCACCCGCCCCGTCGGGGTGACCCACCGAGAACGAGCGCTCTCCCGGCCCACCCCGGCTGTCGGAACCCGACCGCCCCCTCGCCAGGCCTGGAGGGGACCGCCGGAC